TTTCAAACGCCTGATTTTAACCAGTAAGTACACTGGTCTTCTGAACCGATATGCACTACAAATGCCAATAGCAACAGCCGTTTAATTGGTTAACAAACGAACCTTTGCTCACAAAATTGGTAATTTTATTTAATTTCAAATTATCTTAATTAAAAATGATAAAAATTAAATCGTGTTATGTTCATGATGATAGTCTATGGAAAATTGTAGGTTGAGATTCTAAAAAGCTTCTTTCAATCCGTGTAAATTATACCATGTTGTAGTAATTGTTTTATTTATATCAAGAGAAAAACTACTATTCAAGTCGACGTTATACAAGAAATGGTTATTGTTTATTTATCATCCAGTCGATTTTAAATTTTCTGTTGCTAAGCCACATATTACTATGACAGACAAACATTGTAATTAGCTATTTTTAATAATCGAACCTAACCTAAGATTATTTCTACAAATTTTTTTAACCAAAAAAATCCATAATTAATGCCAATTAAACCCATATGGTTATTATACATTAAAAACCAAACGAATATTTTTAAAATATGTTATTTTATGAGGTTTGAAATGTTGTATACAAAGACATACATAATCTATTCATATACATTATTTATTTATTTAATTAGTATACAAATTAACTATATAAAAAATGTAAGATAAAACAATTTTTTTTCGAATTTAATTTATTTTTATTTAAAATTTCCCAAATTTAAATATACTATGAAAACTATCAATCGTCTAATTATTCTCCTTGATTTGATCATCAAGGACATAGATTAGATTGTCATAATTGTCAACTTCATAATAATTTCCATCAAAGTATCTGTATTTGAAGTATATGCGGTTTATAGCCGATATACAACAATTTACACCATCGATACCAGAAGTTACTATATATAAAGTTAGATTTTCAATTACTCTGAATAAACCTATTAAACGACGCATATTGAGATAAATTACAAAATACGGATCTTTTTCACCTAAAAAATACAAAATAAATTAAATTGAGCTCATTCGATATTAAATTATAAAGTCTCATCTTTATTTTACTGTGTAATGCATCTTTATATTTAGTGTATTTTAAGAAAAATCCCATATCCACGTTGTTGACGCTCCATAGTTGTATTATTACTAATTAAATAATTGTATACAAATTTATCCAAACAAATTTACATAAAATGGTAAACAAATTTAATATGCATATTTACTTATTACAGTGCGGATGAACGCCGTATTAACTTAAGCACTATCTAAAGTAATATCTATTTTTTTAAATTTAATATTGCTACTTTTAAATGACCTTAGTAAAACGTACCCGTTAAAATAGTTTAGTAGTATGGTTAATACTTCAATTTGTAAGTACTAATAAAAGGTTTAGTAATATACAAATTATTTAATTTAATAGTTATTAATTAAAAAAACAATCACGGTCTGATCGTTTAGTGTTTGCGTGACACAAATTCTAATTTTATTTTCCAGAACAAAACGCAAGTGAGTTTTGTTATCAATTTAGAATGTAATGTAACTGAGTCACATATTATTGGTCCTTATTTTTATGAACGGAAACTCAATGATAAGAAATAACTATTTAAAACGAATAAAATGCCAACGTTATTGACAAATTTTTTTTTATAATTTTGTTTATAAAGTGCTGGTGTACATTGAGCTAAATGAACTTTAAAATTAAGCATGTTTTTTGGAAAAATAATGGAATTACAAAATCTTTATTCCTAAAAATTGCGGGAAATTTGTCTTTATATGCTTTTAGTAGTAGTGTTTGGAATTAAAATAAGACTGAAAGTAGAAGCATATAAAATATACTACATGTTAGATTGGTTTTATATTTATTCCAATAGAAAAATCATTTTCAATGACAAAAAATACTGCGAGTACATGAAAACAACAATATGCATATAGTAGGGACCGACTTATTTAGACCAAAAAGTACTTGTGTTTTAGTGAAATATTTTCGCATTCGAAAAATTTGTTCAAATAAGGATAATCCCATCGGCAACAACAGCAGAAAACGCAAAAACAATTTCGTTTTACAAGCAAACGATTAGATTTTCAATTCAAACCTACGCGTCGATAAAATATCTGTTTGACACATTTCTTAGCGTGGAATAATATACCGTTGGTTTATAAAACACAATTTACAAACGGTTAACGTCGTGTAGGTAAATTATTCAGTACATAAACTACTCCAAATCAGTTTTGAATATTACGGAAACTCAATTCCAAATTGCGTTCAAACCTGGGTTTAAATACTCGAAAGCCTTAACTATAGGTTAGATGCATCATCAAATATTTTCTATACAAATCTATAAAAGTAACTAGGGGGCCCATGTTCCATGCCTTAGACCCCTAGTCCCTAGAATGGCTCTCATAAAACCCAAAGGCTTCATATAAAAATGTACCGTATTTTCAATAACCAGAAAGAAAATAGGGGTTTCTGGTTAGTGTTAACCGATCGACGGTTACCAATGTAAGATTTAATCATTCATCTACACGAAAAATCACGAGAAAAAATTTACCGTGTGGAAAATTTAAAAAGAAAAATTATTTAATTTAAAAGCTATTTTATTATACTATTTTAGCTTGAAAGTTGATAGTTGTTTTCTCTTACAATATAATACTTTTTTTTTCATATTTAATCCCGTGATAACTATTTAGTTTCTAAATCGGTTATTTTAAAATATATATATATATATATATAAACACAAAATTTAAAACGATATGATCAATTTCCTAAAATGTTTTATCTACTTCCAACATACTGCTTTGGCTACTAATTGTGATTCAGTAAAATATTACAATAACCGAAAACCAGAATAAAAAAATACAATAATACCAAAAAAAAAAAATACACCATTTTGTAGTATGTCTCTACGACTTCCACCTTGTCAGTGACTGTACACCGTAAGTAAATAATCAAATAGCGAATACATAACGTTCATAGAATTTCGTCACTCACAAAGTTTTTCTGTTAGTTCGTTATTTTGACTTCAGCGAAAATAGTCGTTCTATTCTACACTTCATTAAATTTCAATTATTTAAAAAACTATTATGCATTTTAAAAGTGGTGTTATTTTCTGCGCGGTGTATTTCTTTACATCAGTATGGGTAAGATACTTATAAATCTAAAAAAATATTTCCTAAAATAAATATAATTATATACTGAAACAAGGTGACTTATGTAATTTAGTCCTATAACTTATACATTAAACCATAATGACCTTAAACATTTAAAAGGTAACGCATAGTATATTTTATTAACTTTAAAAAAAAAAAAAAAATACTAAAAATGTTAACTGGTACGTGGTCTGATTTTAAGGAGTTTTGTCGAGGTAATATTTAAGAAAAAAGATGATTTTTATTAAATTTCAATTATGTCAATTAATTTATCAGTTAATTTGTATATAGTTCAAGTTTTTATATTTAGTTTAAATAATTTTTTTTAATGAGTAGAAGCCATTTTGGTTTATTTTAGACCAAAAATCCATAAAAAATGTTGAATACATAGAATGGTCCAATCTTAATTGTGTTAAGAGAATCACATTTTTTGGCTGTTTTACTATATTATGTAAGAAGCAGATTTTAATTTAAAAATTTCTGTTTTTTGTAATTAAATAAATTAAGTTTGTATTTTTCGATAAAAGCCCAATTTTTTTACAAAAAATAGGTTAACAATTAAAAATCGGGCTTCTATATTAATTATTTAAGTTGCCTGAGAACTTCTTTGATCTTAAAAAAGATAAATTTTTGATAAATTTATAATATTGTGATTGTTAGTAAACATTAGTAAAACTATAATATTGAAATCGTTTTACCAGAAAATGAGTGTCTTACATTTGATATATCACCCGGTACTAGTATTTAACTATAAACCATTTTACTTAAACTTAGAGCACCGGACTAAATAAGGAGCAAATAGCAAAATGTATTTTACTATACAAATACCCGTTTAATATCCCACGCAGTAAGAAGGAGGATTTTGGAATTAAATATCCGAATATTGATTTTGAATGGAAATTTAACCAGCCACGTCATTTCAATATTAAGAATTTAGTTTTGTCATTAGCGTATGAAGGAACAAAAGACAACTTTGAGGTATTTGATCTTATAGAACTAGTTTAACATTAAAACATTTCAACTATTATCAAATATAAAAATATCACAGATACATGTTAGCGAAATATTCGTGTATGTTTAATATTTTACATAGAATCGAATGCTGACGTCCTTTGAAGTAGATTATTACGTCAAAATGTTTTATGAATATACCATAAATTTAAAACACCCTGGATTGCTTCCTTTTGCAAAAATAGGAGATTTTTTAAGATCCATAAACATAGAAGAAGAACAATTAGATAAGGCCATGGAAATTATCCCTTGGTCTGAAAGAGGTATTATTAAATTAAGGTCGAGGTAATGGTTTACATCAAGTTAACAAACTACATTTATTAAATTTTAGGTTTGGGTTTTGAATCCGCAGTGGAATTCTTGTCGGTCATGATAGATATTCTACCGGAAGTAAGCAAATATTCATGCAACGAATAATAGTATTTTTAGGAACATCAAATGGAAACCGTATAAAATAAAAATCATTGTATAACAATTAGGAAAACTCGGGTAGGATTTAAAAAAAAAATAAAAAACAAGGTCCTACTATTTGCAATTTTTGAAAATTGACCATATAAATTTTTATGGATAAATTGAATTTGAAAAGTTGTTTTAACAGTTAGAGAATCATTACTAAATTGCGATTATTAAATCGCTTAAAATTATACAGCCGCATACAATTTTACATGGTTAGACATTTTTTTTACAGCTTACTTATATTTATCCTTTTTGGTTACTTTTTAGGGCAATGGTCTAAGCCAAAGTCAAATAGAAGAGTTCATGGATTTGTATACATCACATATAATTAAAGAAACCGGTAGCATTGATCCTTTGGAAGTTAAAAAAATTTTCAATGGGTTTGGTATGTTTATGCCGCGAGAAGTGCAATTTGATTTTTACCGTAAGAATAAAGTATAAATATATTCACGTTAGATATACTTAGAGTTCTTATATAATATATTATAATTGAAACTTGCACAGGGCCCGCTGCAATAGAGTTGATGGAGTTGATGATCGTTACTGCAGAACGTTCTAGGACAGTTCACAAAAATGTAATATAAATTATTTTTACCAGGGTGCTATGCCAAGTTTGCTGTACATTATTTAGTTGATATAGCAGATAATATAATTATATGAGACGCATATTGCCAGTAAAGCTTAACATATTAAAAGCTACATTTTTTTGAGAATAATATAATATAAAAAAGCCAAAGTTGTTCAAACACAGCGCGCTAGAATGTTATTTTATTTAGGAAAAGTACTAGGATCCTATGCGTAAAAAGTGTATTAATATATTATTTATAAAGAAAGGGACAATGGTTGCGTAGGCCGTTAAGGTCTTACGACTTTTTCGTTCTTTCATTTCTTGTGTACACTTGTTGTTTTAGTGTGAATTTTAATTAGTGTACAAGTTGTTGAGTGTACAAGGAGACAAGCTTAACAATTTTTCGTGGTCAAATTATAAAAGCATCTTGCTTAAATATGCAATACTTATTAATTGTACGGTTATACGATCGGTAATTCTAAAGCATAACCATTTAAAATTCCTTTGCTGTCAAGCATTACTCCTCACGGGAAAAATAAATAGTTGGTCCAACTAGTTTTTTAGTTATCTATACCAACTAGAAATTTATTGTGTCGCTATTTAACCATCTTTTTTAATTGGACCAACTATGTATTTTTACTGTGCCTATTATTTAATTGTTCGTTACACGCTATACATAGTTTTACTTTGTCTTTTTTTTAGGAGATTGTGTTGAGTACACAAGAGGTCAGATTATTGGTAGCTGGTTTTAAAGGATATGATACGGACCATGACGGTCTGCTCTATGAGAGTCAAGCAAAAAGGTTTCTGGAAGATTTACTCACTAACAATCCGCAATCTTCAAGAACAAACTATTGTGAAGAAATTTGCGAGAAACTTCGATCAATGGTTGATTTTTTTTCAAAAAAAATGAACATTGCGGAATTTTTATTTTTCTACATATCAAATAAAACAACTGTTGAATAAGCATTAACATATTATTCGAATTATTGAAATGTTTAAATTTATTTATTAATTATAATATTTGAAATATAGCGTTTTAATGTCTTATACCTATACAATAAAAATAAAATTATATGGTTTTTTTTTTGTCTCAGAATATGTAAGAATAAGTATTACAATGATAATTAAACAATTCAGTATCTAAATTTAAATATTTTAATTTATTAAATACCTAATATAAGTTTTATAACACTATTTTTTTTCTCGAAATTTCGTTTTTTTCACGCAAAGTGGTCTTAGACGGCGTACTAATATCTGAGTTTGTTTATAGGCCATTATTTTAATATGGTTTGTGTGTTTTAATTGGCAAACCATCATCTTTTACAATAATTATAAGGAGAATATCGCTCAAAACAGTTTTAGTCAAATGGTGTTAGTTTTTGTAATATTATTTTTTTTATATATCTGGAACAATCTAATCGAGTAGAACGATTTTTTCTAACGCGTACTGAAATTGTATCATGCCTTATTTTTTACTTTCATTTTACGTTGGAAAAAATGCGTAAGTATAATATTATAATAGCAACAATATGGCGTGTAAACAACACATAGTTGGTGATATTTTTTGAGTTTTATTTACCTTAAATTCGTATTGATGACATATGAGTAATAGAACGCATGAAAAAAAACTTTACACTAGTCTATGTACCCAGAGTTTTCGTGCTATTAAATGCAATAATATATTAAAGACTTAGATGTATTTTGTATAACAATTTTTTTTCATCGATTTAAGCATCATTTTTCATGGTTTCGTACCGATGTCAAATACACAATATGAGTCCACACATAACACTTCTATAAATCAATACACAACCACAACTCGTTATTGAAAACGATTTTACAAAATTGGAATATGCACGTAGTAACTGAAAAATAATTTAGAATCATCTTGGTTTTTAATTAAAAATAATATAAAGGGTTAATTTTTGTACTCTAAATTGTTTTAAATTTAATTTAAGATAATTCAATACCAACGGAGTTGGCTAGGCAGAATACTTTTATCCACAACTCTCGCTTCCTCTCAAGATTAATATATACAGGGTGGTCCACTTACCGTTAACCACTCAATATCTCACTAGGTTTAATTAATAATTTAATTTTTTTTTCCAATATGTTTTAATATAATGTGATTTCAATTTTCCACAAACTTTGAAGTTCATACCCTCCTTTCAAATTAGTTATTTTTATATAAACTTTTGATTTTCAAAAGGCAACACTTATTTTTTAAATTAAAATTATCAAGAGCAATTGTATATTAAAACATGTATACATGAATTTTTCGTTTTAAATGAGTAGTTAATTAACTACATACATTTTAATATTATGGGTCAGCGGTATCCGTGGTAACCGTTTGGCGCGCAGCTGATCGACTCTTGTGTAGGTACTATTATGAGTTACAATGTTGACTGTTAGAAAATTTGTAGAAGTAATTTTTTATCCACTGGGCATTCGGTCATAAGCAAATCGGTAGTTTTTTCATATTTTTTATTGTGCTTCTAATATTCCTAACCCCCGTTCTGTTCTCATCATATCATAATGGCTTTTCCATTTAGGCATATGTGGTTAATTATTTTGTATTGTATTTAATTGTATATTTTATAGATGGTTCCAACATAGAAAACGTATGATGTCCGGGCATAATGGAAACGGAGAGGTCATAGGCTTACAAGAATTTTTAAATCTATCGAATTAAAGCTTCGAAGGAAATCAGTAGTTAGTATTTTTAAGCCAGTACAGTGCAAACCAAGCACAATATAAATCAGCAAAATTAGAAATTATTAAATTGAGGTGCAGTATTTACAAATAGGCATCAAAGCGTTAATTTGAAAGTGATTTTATCCGAGAAGAATAGTACAGTAGAGTATAAGCATAATGGAATCAAAGCTACGAGGGGACGGAGAGGTCACAGATCTACAGGAATTATTATTAATAAAAGTGATAAAATTAAATAAAATCACTTTGAGACAATGGATTTTTGCAAATATTATAATATTTGAAGTATTTTTTTGTAAAACATTTTTTTACACAGGTTTACTATCCACTATATTTTTTTTTTACCGTTGGTGTTAACACCTTTTGACGTCTAACCTTGGCTTAATCAAATATACCTAAAACACATGCGATATGCTACCGTAGTTTGACTTTTGCATCTCGATGTAACCAAAAAAAAAAAAAAAAAAGCCGATAAATATATAAAAAAATGCAATAATGTTTTGGACAAATTAGTTTTCAAGAATAATATACCATACCCTGATCTTTTATTTATTAAATAAAAATAAAAATTAGAGCCAGTAAACGTTGAAACTTTAATTTCAAATCGATCCGACTCATTACCAAGTAGATACATTGTGTGATTTGTAGAGCTGCCATTCAAAAGAATTGGTCCAGTATTAAAAAAGTTACCTCACATCATTGCATATACTAATAGCATCGCTGCTCTACAGCGAAGTTATAAAATAGATCTATCAATTTTAAAAACGCTCATTACTTTGTTTTCTACTCAATTTTAAAATATTTATTATCGTGGTGACACAAAAAGTTCGTGGTAATTTTTTAACAAATCAGTGGTTTCATTTTAGGCCAATGCGATTTATAAATTATTTCGATTTATTGTTAGAAATGTTTTTGTATATTTTCGCAAAACGGCGCACTTGATTTAAAAGTGACACCGTGTTCAAAAGTAAACGAATATTTAAAAATATGATTTGAAGTGTTGTTTAACGAATTCTCGCTTAAGCGTTTACACGAAAACACATCTTTTTAAGCACAATTTTCCTACCTGTTTGATATACAAATAATTTTAAATGAGAAAAAACGTTACAAACATAACTACTACATAACAGATGGTATAATAACAAAAACGAGTAAACGTTTTCAAAATTTTACCCAAAAACGTATAGCTGTAATTACAATTGTATGACCAAAGTGTGAGACTGAGTTTAGGTACTGTTCTTCTTATATTTTTCGATAAATATTATTTTGACACCATGCGACTGACAATATTCTTTATCATCAACACGATGACTATGATTGGACTCCTCTTACTTAAGATGGATATGTGATTTAATAAAATATATAACCAAAATTTGTATCATTCGTTGTCCTACTTTGATCTACAAAAAAAAAAAAAACTTTAAATCGACTACAGAATTAAAAAACAAAAAACTAAACGTCCTATTCATAAATACACTACACTGATGTTTTATGTTGTTTGTTAGACCTATCTTCAGACTAATTATCAGTTCTTATATCTTAAAAATATGTCAACCTTTCTCGCAGGGGGTGTTCAAAATTTCGGTTTTTCGATGAGCGATTTTGTTGAAAGCACATTTTATATTGAAAATGCTAAGGTTACATTTTTTTCCTGTCGATAAATATTCTTACATTTTAGGCAGAAAAAAACGTCGATCTAACGACAAAAACAAGGTATAAAGTTGTCGTTGTTTGAACTTCAAATTTTTTTTTCTTTTCTTTTGCACACCTTAGTGTTATTTTTTACACGTTGAAAATCCAAAGATCATAGCAAACCGTCGAAACTTGAAAATGTTATCGAATCGGATACACTATTAACATAACATTTGCGCACATAGATATTTTATTATTGTACGACTACTGCCTGTAATAGTCTGTAAAACAAATAGTAACCTAACCTTCTATCTTCTAAAAGTTTCTATCAAAAAACTAATTTGAGGGGGGGTAAAACCAAAAAAACTGTGAAAAATTGAGATCACATTATATGAAAATATTTTGAAAAAAAAAAATTAAATAATTACTTAAGCCCAGTGAGATATTAAGTGTTTCCCGATAACTGGATTACCCTGTATCACATTAAATAGGAAAACAATTTAATATTCGAATGGATTGTAATACAGTTATGCACGAACATTCAAATGTCTTTAAAAATATTTATTGAATATTTTTCATTTCTTCAAAAATATTTTAATAATATATTCAACGATTCATTTTGGAATCGTTGTGCTCTCTGGATAGTTATGAGTTAAATTCTCAGAAACAAACCAACATTTTAGAACCGTGGTAGTTTGCAGAACCGTAAAGCTAAAATCAGCACAAAACTTGATCTATGTAAAGTTTGCTATACATTGTTCAGTAGCTGTAGCGGATGATAATTTTATATGAGCTACATACTGTAAGAATAGCTATTACTTAACCTCACAAGAACTACATTTTTTAGAATAATATAATATAAATAGGCCAAACACACCGCACTAGAATATATTATTAAGAAAATGTACTAGGGTCCTATGCATAAAATGTGTAAATATATTATTTATTAAGAAAAAGAATCACTAAGGACGACCGCTGCTGGTGTTTCTATCCAACTGTCTTACGAGGGCAGCCTGATCAGTATTCCGCAGGCCGAGCCCGAAATCGAGGACTAACAATCACAACTGGAAACCGACCTTAGCCTGACAGGCCGCCAACAGACGTACTACCTGATCAACTAGTCGGCGGACTCAGGCAACGATTTCTAGGCGCTAGTCCGGCGGTACCAAATTGTGCCGGCCGAACACCTCGGCCACTTCGTCCAGGCGCGAGCTCTTGTTCCGCGCAAACGGTACAAGCACGAGTCCAACAACACCAGGCGGTTGCACGTGCTGTCGTCCACGGACGTCGTCGAGTCATATTCGCTCACGTTTTTATTGCGCAAGGGCTCGCAGTTTTGGCACCGGATCGGCGTCATCATTTCGCGCCTGTCCTAGACGGGCATCTTGCTGCACTGGGA